TGAATTAACTGCCAAATACAAAATAAATTTAATTGATAGTTTAATTTTTTATTATTTAAWAKAYATCARATAAAAAWAAAAWATAAGATGTAYAATTTGTATATAAAAAAAAAAGTAATTACAGAATTATTCTTCTGGACAAACAACTGACGCTAAGACTGCTGCACCTCTTCCACTACCATCTTGAGAAAGTATAATACCAAATTTTATACCACTATTTACTAATTCACTAATYTTACTCATCAACAAATTATGATAAAATGGGTGGAATCTGTACACTGATCCATCAACTCCAATTATCACATCTTTCTYGTTTATCTTATTCAATATGGCTGAAAGACCAGCTGCTACTAAATATGCAGACCTTTTTGTAATGCACTCTGTTGCATATCTTACATTCATGCAGTCGCCATCTGTAGGATTGGCAACACCGATTTTTTGAAGGAACTTTCTAGTATTTGCATAAGTTCCAGGTGGATCATTCTCAATTAGGGATAGCACATCACTAGACACTGATCGAGGTTCATTAAGAATTGATGGCTTATAACCATCAAATATTAATTCTTTTTTTATCATGTCCAGTAAAACCAATCTGAACAATTCTCCAAGGTACATCCCAGATACCATTTTTTCAAAAATTTGCTGACCTCGATTTTCAGAACTGTCATCAATAAGTTTGTCATATTTAGTATGAAAATCTTCAAGTTCGTTATTGTCACCAAATGCACCCCACTCTAGATTGATGACCATTTCTTGTTTCGATTGGTCGCCACTATATAACTCGATATTTTTTACCTAATAATGTACAAATTATWCTGTATTAAGCTATTAGAAAAATAAATACATTGGTTTTTAAAAAAAATTACTTGTTCTACATAACAACAGTTACAACCGGTACCAATAATCAATCCAATTCTCGTTTTAGGATTCAACCAAGCACATGACATTAAAGTGCCAACAGTGTCATTTAAAATTGCACAAATCCGTATATTTAGGCCTGGGATTTTGTTTATTGACTTTGTCAAAAGGTGTACGATGTCTTGACCCACTACACCTTCACACGTGAATCCTTTAGTCCATCTAACAAGTTTTGCCGAGTTAATGCTTGATTGATACATTGGAAAACTAAATGTAAAACCCAAAGGGAGCTTGGTCTCCTTTTTTAATCCTTGTGCTGTCACAAAAGTGTTCAAGCATTCGGCTATGTAGTCAAACAATATTGTTCCTGATCCATTCATCAATGCCTTAGAACACTCGTATGTCTCTTGCTTCATTTTGAAATATTTATTGTGTCCTAGTTCTAAATTGAGTACCCGGAAATTTGAACCACCTAAATCAAGAGCTAAGCATTTTCCTTTTTCATCACCATGAGGAATGTCTTGGACATATGTTTGCCAGCATTTGATTGTTGCTTTTGAATGAGTTTCCTTACCAAGTCCTTCATAAATACAGGAAGTCATCCGGTTCATAAATTCTCGTAGTTTGGTATTCGGCAGTACAAAATGTCTGCACAAACGTCTTACTTTTAAATGATTTACCCATGTTTTTATGCTGTTTAAATGTCCTTTACAACTTTGCCTTTGATCTGACATTTTGAAGAKTTATAAKAGAACTTTGAGTAAAATTATACTTGGAACAAAATTTGTTATAGTCATATATTATGAACTAGATATTATTTTGAATGTTTATTTTATGTTTGTTACCAAGGTGTTTTGTTTATATTTACATCAACCAATAATTATTTACTTTAAATCATCATGWGTTATTGATTTTTAACTGCTAATGAATTTTTAAGACTGAACAAAAAACAATTTTAAATCATTTTATACAATGTCATTGAATTGTGTAAAATTTCGGGGGTCTTTGGGACACCTGACATCTGGTCATCGAGATCAAAACCATACCATAGAATACTATAATAGTATTAATATAAATAAATATTAATATATAAATRTTATTAATATTAATAATAGTATTCTATGACCATACCATATGTATATCAACATGGATCTAGTTATCTTGGGATCAAATTATCGAGCCYTGATTGAAAAGTCCTGATAATAGGATTTGTCGGTTATCTAAAAATTCGAAAAATAATGTAAATTTTAAATTATAAAATTAATGTTGTGCTTATGTTAATAT